CCCACTCACACATACGTAACTATGGTTTAATGAGTTTATTAATATTTCCCAGCAATTCCCTTCGTCAAAAACCCAGAACTGTCAGAATTAAGTCCAGCCACAAACAGACCAATGTGACTCAACAGAACAACAGTCACTTTTGAAGCATAAAACAATAGGATTCTGTAGCTCTTCAGATCTAAAGGGGAAAAATGTTTTGCAGAAAGCCCAGGGATGCTGATGGCACCTGCTGGGAACCCCTTAAAGCAGCCTTTCATAGATCCCACTATAGCTTCATAGTCTCCATCTCTGAAACCTTTTGTTCCTATAATGTATTGACCTTGAAACAGTACAGTTTATTGTACTTTGAGTTTTACAAGCATTTTTGGCAGGATATTATCTGACCTAATTTAAAATCACGACTAGGAAGAGATATTTCTGAACCTGTTAATATTTAACTTGCAGATAAAAAAATCCTAAAATTGCAGCAGTATCAGTTCTATTTTTAAATATGGCTATAAAAATGAAGCCTTTAGTACGTATCAATAATGTAAAAGGTTCTAAAATCTTAATTATATTTGATAGTTTGATATTTGGATCCTTTGGCCCGAAATAATCTCTGTTTCTCTCTGTGCATATATACACACCACACATACACACACTACACTATTCCCTATAGCTTCACAGATAACCACACAAAAAGGTACAGATGTTTTAGTAGTTGCCCACAGGTGCTATATGAGTGCTCTTATATTTTGAAGCACCCTTTAACTTTAAAATCCTAAATAAGCACAGATGCACCATTTTTTTAAGTAAATGAAAAAGATTGTACATTAAAGTTAACTTTCAAGTGAATAGGGGTATTAAGAAATCTAGCTTCTCTTGCAAAGAATTGCTCTATATAGAAAAATCTTTTTTGAGAATCTCTGTTTTACTAAAATCATTAGTTTAACAACTACTGGCAATATTCAGTATTTTGAAAAATGATTAAACTTCCCTGAAGATAGTTATCTTCCTAAGATCTTAAATGATAGCATCTTTTTTTTTACAAATTTTTGAGACAGAAAAGTGAATTTCTTTCTTTCTATTAACCACAGATCTATTACAGAAATGTTAAAAATCTTCAAAAATAGATTAGGGTACATGTTTTAGTCACTAAAAATTTCTATATTAAGGCTTAGGTTTTTTTTTTAAGGCTATGTGATTCAACAGTAAGAAAAGAGGAGCTGCCCATTTTCAATAGCTGAATTGATTTCAGCATTAATTTTAATATTTTCCTAATCAAATACATATTTGAGAGTTCGTGTTTCATGTTTCATAGTTATTTATTAACATAATATTATCTGGAATATTTGTATAGTGATTTTTTTCAGTTTGTTTTAGGCCCCTTTTAGAAGTCTACTTATCTTGGTATTACACAAAGAACATCATTTTATGGCCTTTTCTTCATTGTGATGATTACAAATATTGCCTCATCAGAGACAAGTGTCTGAGACGGGCAAGGGATACAGGCTGCTTTCTATTCCAGTAGTTGTTGGGATTCTTCCCATAATCCTTTTTATGCTATTGGCTAGAGATTGTCCCTCCCTCCTCCCTGGGGCTCTCTCTTAGGCACTTATTTATGCTTTGGCTCAAATCAGTGGGAAGTATAATTTTCTGTGCTTGCAACAGCCAAGTTGCTGCATAATCACAAAATTCCTCTGTGAGGGAGATGGGCAGTTTCAGACTCTAATAAAGAAAGAAATGAAAAAGCAAAATCACTCCAAAGATTACATGTTGATTTTATAGTCTGGAAAGGAAATTTGGGCATTTTCCCCATGCTTGCTTCCAATTTCAATTTCCCTGCTTCTTAGAAAAGGAAAGGAAGAAGAATTACAGTTAGTTCAAAGCAATGTTACTGTAGTAATTTGAATGTTATATGATACAGTAAAATAATGTTCAGGAACAAAGAAATTCATGATCGGTTAAATATCTCATTCATTAGTAACTGTTTTGAGTACAATAAACTGTTATGGTTCAATAAACTATTTCATACCTTAATTCAGTGCTTGCAGACCCATATTTAGTGTTATTATTCAATAAATTTCAGTGAAACAAATTACACTACATAAATCATTCCGTCCAACATTTTAACCCATCCTCATACAATTACAAGTTTGCACCAGATCTCTTAAATTCCCAGTCATAGATCACACTAATGATAAACGTGGGAACTTTGTTCCTACTTATGTGGCAGGCATAAAAGTATAGTAGCTGTTTTAATAATTACTTAGCTGGTTGTGGGTATCTGTTACAAAAGTCTGGAACTATTTATACATTATATAAAATTAAAGTCATCCGCTTGTATAGTCAATATTGTATATAGCATTTTATAAGCAGCAGATTTCCAAGATATCAGAAAAAGAGCTCGCTTTGCTTTTTAAGATAATTCTGAAGTTAGAATCTTTTCCATAGAAAGTACTTGGGATGATTTTCAGAACAGGGGGTATAGAAATATAGCTTAAGAGCTATACAATTCTTGTAAGAAAAAAAATCAAAGAGTTACATATGGTTTACATTGTTTTTGATCTGTGCTTGGTTAACAAGTTCATGTGGCATTGTCCACTTTGTAAGATAATTTTTTAGTAATTTGAAAACTATACATCTGGACCTCATATGATCAGGGGTATCAAACTGGCTGCCCATCACATGTGGCCATGCATACCCCAGCTCTGCAAATGGGAAACACATCATGAAACATCACATGACAGCTGTTGAGGTAATTCCATTAAGAGAATGAGTGTACACAGGGAGACGTAGTGAGAGTAATGTTGAATAACACACAACCAGCACACATACACTAAATAGTAAAATGTAGGTTTTTACTTCCAGTAAACTGTTAAGCAAAGTCCAACAAACAGTCCAAGTCATACACGGTTAAAGCAGCCAGTTTTCAGTCCAGGGATAATCCAAATAACAAAGTCTAGTATAAACAGTTCAGTAAATAGACTCACAGCAATCCAAGAAGAACAATGATCAGCAACAGTCAATAGGGAAAAAATGCAAACCAACCAACATCGAACATCAGAACATCTAGCAACAAGTAACTCACAGCAACAACAGAACAGAACAACCCAGGTTTCTGGCTCCATCTTATGGCCGTTTAAGGAACCACACCCAATTACAATTTTAGCATTCCCTTAAAGAGACAGTATTATATTTCTATCCTGGTTTATATATTTCCAACCCAACTGTTCATCAATTCCTAACAACAGCAATATAAAGCACTGAGTTTGACACCCATGCTATAGATAGTTGGTGGCGAATTTACTTAATAGTCCTTCCTTCTATTTTCCCCACAGCCCTGGGTTGGGCTAAAGAGAGTGATTGGACCAAAGTCCCCCAGTTGGTTTTCTGCATAAGGCAGGATTAAAACTATTGTTTCCTGCCTTCTAATCTGGTGGCTTAACCACAAGAACAATCTGGCTCTTACCATGCTTATTTGCTACAGACTCATGAGACCTCAGACATGCATACTGAGTAGAATTATGTTTCTTGGCAGAATTCTCACAGATTTTGCTCATGTTAATATTATCTGTTGTAATTTGCAAGTAAGTCCATAAAGTTAAAATTGATAGTTCATGAAGTAGCTTTCAAGGAATATTTCCAGCAATAGAAATATAGTCTAGTGTTCCAGACACTTTATTCCACATTTATATACTTATGGAATCACCGTATTGGCAAGACCATTGAATAGACCAAATATAAAAAGTATTTTCATTAGTCCCTAATCAGCCTTGAACAAGATAATCTTATGAATTTGACAGCACACACTGTAATGAGAAACACTTTCCTGAGCAGATGGCTTCAGCTGCTACATGAAATGTAAGAACAATGTCAGTCCATGTTTTCAATGTCTTCTTTTTCATATTGCTTTTTCTCGGAAATTGCTATATAAGATTGATAGTTACCTTTTTGACACAAGAAGGCAAAAGCTAGTATTTTAGACAAAAAAGACCTCCAAGTAAAGTTTATACATAAAAAGGGTTTTTTTAAATAAAAATAAAAGCTTAAAAGTACTGTACTTGTACACATATTAACTCTAGATCAGAGCTGTAAAACTCCTAGCCTGTGAGCCAGATATGTCACACACTGGCCACACCCATGCTCATTTAGTGAAGAGGGAAAAAGTCCTGATACATCACGTGACATTGCCGTGATGTCATGAGTTTGACACCCTTACTCTAGATAGAATCACTCTCTTAAAAGAACTAGAGGATCCTGATGCATTTGTGGCTCTTGCTAAACAACAGGTGGAAGTGGTGGCCAGAAGAGTCTTTGGCCAGCTGACATTTGTGTGCTAGTTGCAAATATACTTGGATTAGGATACCCTTAGCAACAATGACTCAAGCACATATTATCACATGACTAAAATTATGTGACACACCCTACTTGGAACTGTGTTGGAAAATTATTTGGAAGCTTCAATCGATACAAAATGGAGTGGATAGGTTACTAATAGGTAGAATTAATTTCTATTTTAATTTTGTCCTAACCTTTGATCATTGCAAGGATTATCAATAAGCTTCTAGGTCCATTTCAAAATCCTGGTTGAAATTGAAAGCTCTAATATCTTAGAAGCCTTCTTCTCTAGATGAAATCTACCCGATTCATTTTCTCATGTGAAGAGCAGTTGCTGGGAATCCTATCCTTGCATGAATACATGGGCCTCAAAACAGTTCTTCTCTGGAGGGATTTCCATGCTAGGAAATATTTTCCCTTCATGGTTTACCCTTCTTTTTATCTTTCCGCAGGTTAACTATAACAATTATTTTTGAGCAGCCATTCAGGTTTTAGATAATTACTTAGTGTTTGGGCCACCATAGTACCAGGTATTATTTCTTTGCCTCTGTTTTTGTTTGTCACTTGATTTGAATTGTGATCTACCAGAAGTCTGATCAAATGGTGCAGTAAAAAAAAATCATAGTAAGTAACTAAATACAAATAAATAGTTGATTATCACATCTTGATTTCCCCATCAGAGCATTCTGTGGAGATTTCCAGTCTACTCAATGGAGGCTTCTGTGATGTAAGATCTTCCAACTGCAGCAACATCCAAGTGTATGGAGTTGGCTTTAATGATTCTCCTGATCTTCACTGTGAAGTCACCAGACTGACTGTAAGTAGTTTAATATGAGACCATGGAAAAAATGAATATTAATCAGAAAGCTTCTTGCATTCAATAAACTCTGTGAAAAGGAGAGTCATGAAGGACAAAACATTCAGTTTCAAAAAAGTTTAGGTAGGTAATTGAATGGTTATTGAATAGAAAAGTTATTTTCCCCCATGTAGCACTTTTGAGTGGCAGATGTAGGAATGTACAGTCTTCTTATTTTGTCTAGGAAGAAGATCAACAACGAATGTATGCAAGCAGAGTTGGTTGCAGGCAGCAACATAGAGTATATGTCTTTGAAGATTAGCTGGTGGCTATCAATTATTTGGGAGATGCTGATGAATTTGATCTTTTGGGGGGGGGAGGTGTTACTTCTTAATCAGGACTTTCCTTTCTTTTAAGTTACTTATTCCCTTCTTGTCTCTATTCAGGCTGGTTTCCCTTTTCTATTTCTCTTCCCTTTCCAAGTGAATTGTATTTTTCTTCTTCTCTGTTTCTCACCTTTCTTTTTCATGTATATATGTATTTTCCATGTATGTATGTATCTTAAGAAGGGATGCGGTGGCTCAGTGGCTAAGACACTGAGCTTGTCGATCAGAAAAGTCACCAATTCGGTGGTTTCAATCCCTAGTGCCATGTAATGGAGTGAGCTCCCATTACTTGCCTCAGCTTTTGCCAACCTAGCAGTTCGAAAGCATGTAAAAATACAAGTAGAAAAAAAGGGATCACTTTGGTGGGAAGGTAACAGTATTCCGTGCACCTTCAACATTTAGTCATGCCAGCCAAATGATCACAGAGACATCTTCAGACAGCACTGGCTCTTCAGCTTTGTAATGGAGATGAGCACCGCCCCCTAGAGCTGGAAATGACTAGCACGTATGTGCAAAGGGAACCTTTTCCTTTATCTTATGTATCTCAATATATGTTCAGATGGGGAATCAAAATTTGATCAATACCGCGGCTCACTTTCCTGGCTCTGCCCAACCCGCACGGCTCTGGCATGGCCCTGGCGGGATGAGCGGAGGGTCCGGCGGGGAGGCGCTTGCTGCCTTGGTGAGAGCTCTGCTGCCAGGAAGGAGGGCCCACCTGTCAGCTGCACTGGGCGCCCCAGACAAAGCTCTTCAACCTCTGCCCGGTGCCAGGTAGGGATGGCGGCTGGGCGCTTCTCCCGAGGTGGGCCGATCCTGTGCTGTGGCCCCGGGAGATTCACCTCTCCACGTGGGGTTGGGCTGCCCTCTAAGGAAGGGGAGTCTTTGTTGTAGTAGGGCGTCATTTTTAAAATAATTGGCTTTACCTTCAAAGGAAAAGGGAAGGCAGTGACAGGAGCTCCTGAAGCTGAGTGTCTCCGCCGGGCTGCAGTTGCAGGGAGGAGCCCTGGCTGGCCACACGTGGCTGTGCCAAATGCCACGGCGTTGCTCTAAACACTGCGGCAGCAAGGGAGAAGGGAAAGGAACAGTGGCGGAAGGTCTCCCGATACGAAGTGCCCCACCAACGCCGAGGTCGCTGCCTGCCCACCTGATGATGCAAGGGGGAGGAATTAAGTCAAAAAAAAAAAAAGGCCTGGCCTTATTTGTGAGAAACATGGTGTGTATATATATATATATATTTGTTTTCTGAGGTTCTCGCGGGTATTTGTATGTGGATCTTTGGTTGTTCGGGTTTTCTCCCGCATAAGATTCGAAGTATCTAGGCAACGTTTCGATGAAGTCTCATTCATCATCTTCAGGCTTCTTTCTCCGGCTCTGTGCTTCTCAGAGTAATGTGAGATTGCAGCTGCTTCCTCCTTTTAACTTCCATGTCCACACTTCCATGTAGAAAACAGACTCCCACCCACTCAGAAGATGAGACACGACCATGGACCAGAAGTTGCACGGCAGCTGCATCACTACCCACTTCAAACCCCTCCGAGCCATACATGAAGCAAACCGACACCCACTATGAAGATGCAGAAGGACCACGAACTCGAAGCCAAACAGCAAGATCACAACTCACCAGCTCAAATCCCCCAGCAACTAAGACTAACCTGAGCACAACCAAGCCCCCACCTGAACAGAACACGCCTCCAACCAATCAGAACACGGCTAACCCCCCAACCAATCAGAACACAGCCAAACCCCCTACCAATGAGAACACACCCCCACCCAATCAGAACACAGCCAAGCCCCCACCCAATCAAGTCCCACCCCCACTGGCAGTTAAAAGGAGGAAGCAGCTGCAATCTCACATTACTCTGAGAAGCACAGAGCCGGAGAAAGAAGCCTGAAGATGATGAATGAGACTTCATCGAAACGTTGCCTAGATACTTCGAATCTTAACCGGGAGAAAACCCGAACAACCAAAGATCCACATATATATATATTCTTAAGTTTTCATGGGTACTTACATGTATGGCATTCAGCTTTGTTCAGGTATTTTCCCACGTCATTGTAGTTGTGCTTTTAAAGTTGTAGCAACGTTTCGGCAGAATCTCATCTGCCATCATCAGGCTTCTGTATAGTGTTCATCTGTCTTTGGCTTTGTGCCTCTCTGAGAAGCACAAAGCCGAAGACACAAGCCTGAAGATGATGAATGAGACTTCACCGAAATGTCTCCTAGATACTTCCAATTTTACGCGGGAGAAAACCTGAATAACCAAAGATCCACATGCAAATACCCGCGAGAACCTCAGAAAA